TTTTTGTATACAATGATATAATATCATTGGATTCAAATTTAATTCCATCCATTACAGTAACCCACTTGTAACCTACTGTACAGCAGAGCGACATACATGACTTACCCGCTTTTTTATTTTTTACGTCCATATATATTATTAGAGTAAACATATTTCTTTGTATCTGAACAACATGAGTTGCATGCTTACTTTACATCGCAGTAAATGGCATTGCTGTTGGAGTTTTAACTAGTTAACAAAAGTCCAATAAAAAGGCTGCTGCTGTAATTTTKGTTACAATACTTTGCCATTTATTGTTGTAATATTCCTTATGTTACTATATAGTATAGTTGACTCGTTACGATCCCTATTACTTAATATTTAATAACGTAATAAATTGTTAGCAGAGTGAATAGTAAAATAAAATGAATGAAACTTAAAACGAACAAAATTGTTCGTCCGTTCAATTAAAACTTATGCACAAATAAATGACTAGAATGTTTATAATGTTCAATAGGTACCTATATTCGAGAGGTACCTCATTATAATTTAAAAATAATAATTATCATATTMTATAACAATTAAATAATTATTTATATTGTTTTAAATTACAATTTATTTTAATTACTGTTATATAACTATAACTGTAACTGARTCAGTTTTTGTCTTCTGTCCTACATTTAACCCTAACATGCAAGTTGAGTGAGCCTGCTGCATAGCTCTCAACACTTATTTGAGTTTTGTTAAGTGTTTAATATCTCCCTTGGAGGCCCTTTACCGTTCGCATTTTAGACATATCAGAATATACGATTCTGTGACTTACGACTCTAATATAGCAATTTTAGTTATATTATATCAACATGAGGAGTTCACCTCAACATTTTTAAATCACATTAGTCGTGTTTTAAAACGAATGGCTTTGCTTCTGGTTCAACATCTTGATCTATAGACTCATTAGTTATTATACCAATATTCATTGCAATAATTAATTTGTAATAAATTTGTCAATAAATAATTTATGTTTTCTTTTAGATCAAACACCATCAGCGGTAAATGCCAACAGTACAAATAATGCCGGTGGACAATTGGTTCCACCGCCTCTGACACCTGGTACAAATAAGAAAATGACCGAAGCCCTGCAAGCTACATTTGCATCCTGGGAAAAAGAGCGACATAAGTTGAATGTCCCAAAAGGTAATTAATTAAATATATTTAATGTTAATAATAATTGCAATGAACTTATCGCTCAAAAATATTTAAGTTGCATGAACTATCGAAATAGATAAAAATAAGTGATATATTTAAATTTAATTTAAGTGATTTGGTATATGTGACTTGCACTGTGATTTCTAAAATTCTATTATAAAGTTTAGAGAAYAATTGTGTTATATTATATCATATAGGTAGAAAGAATACTTTGAGTCCCCTCAAAAAAAAATTAATTAGTTACCAAAGTATTTTGATGTTTATTAAGTATTTACGTGTTGGCTGTCAGTTATCTCAARATCGAAACCCAAACTGTTGTAATACCATTAGCTTCCTTGTTTAACTAAAACGCACAGAATATCCAAATTACTTGAATGTTATCTTTATTTTAAATAAATATATTCAACTATAAAATCATTATCCGGCATTGAATAAATATTTAATAGAACAGTTGTTATGTGCGTTATTGTAATTTTTAAATTCTGAGCAATGCGAAGAATGTGTTTTACAAGTTTTATAATTATGCATTTTTGAGTGTTTTAACATCACGTTTTGAAGCAAAAATTCTTCAATTTTAGACTTTAGAGTGATTTTTGGTTGAAAATGTAATCTATTATTAACTATAAAATGAAATATGTACAAACCACACAACTTTACTTTTCGAAAAAATTTGGTTCGTTTTAGTTGTAGTAGAAATAAATTCGTAAAAACAGAAACTAAACATTTTTGTCAAATAGTACATCAATTAGCGTTTTTTAGACGTTAAAATAATTTTTTAAATATTGCTGCTCCATAAAAACATAAAAACCCCGTTAACGTTTTAAAAATACCATTAAGTAAGGCCACCGGCGGTCGCATGGCACTTAACGTGTTAATTATTTTATATGTTTGACTTTTTCTTAGCAATTATTCGATCTACGTAATTTGATATCTTGATAAGGTAATTTAAAAATTAATAGAATTTACATTAAAATTCCACGTAGGCTTATTTCATAAAAAATTTAATATATCTAAAATAAATGTTTTTATACGTGTTTGAAGTTCAAATGTTAGGGAAAATCCTGAACATTTATAAATTATTTCATACCTACTGAAATAATTTAAAATTGGCTAAAAAAATGTATAGACAAATTCCCCGTGAAATATTCCTTATAGCTAGTAAAAATAAGTTGAAATTATATACAATCATTTTTAATAAGTGTTTGGAGTTAAAATTTTGGAAAAATTATACATATTAAAACGAAAAATAATGATTTTTCTTCAAACAATTTTAGTTATTTTCTTGTAATTTTAAAAAATATTTATATTAATAAGTCTTCAAATTTTTTTCAGTTAAAGCACTTTTAACAAATTTAAATTCTTATCTTCTATACACTTTGCAATCTTTAAAATGTATAGAATAATTGTAAACTATTTAAACACAACCTACCTGCATGAACCTATTTACACCTTGCCACGTTAATATTGACTATTACCTATAMCAAATTAGTCATTAGTTATATCGTTATATGCGATGTTTTTGACGAAAAACCTTCCGAATAAATAATTATTAGTAACAATATAGGTAACACATTGAGCTGGCTTTTAGAATTTTCTACTTATCCACCTATCTATCTACTTCACTTAGAATTGTTTTTTAACAGTTATGGTATTGATGATTTGATTAATTATTGAATTACAATTTAACATTTCCATTACTGTAACTTACTCGAAGTACATTGCAAGTACATTAGTAGGTTTATTATACTGTCTGCTATATTATGTACAACAAAATCGGTTTGCCCTTATATTTTTCTTTTTTACCTAAAGTACATGATATTGAAGTTTTATTTTTAAATTAATAAGTTATAATACCTTATAGCACATACTTTTGATAAAATGTMTCATACTTTATACATCCGCAAATAATAACAAATTTATATTAATTACAATACATTATTAACATTAAGAATGTTTGTACAGATGACATGAATACATAATGTACTTATCTTGTATAATAGTGTAAAATTGAAAAATAATAAATCCTATATCCATGGCAGTGTATTCGATTTTATCCAAACATGATTTTATTTTTATGTATTCTCTCGGTTGAGTGACTTATATAGGTAGTTGATGGACCGTGAATTACATGCAATTGTGCTCTATATATAAATGATCTATTTTCTTCTGTCACTTACAAAACAAATTGCATTGCTGAGTTATAATTTACTTATACATGTAGGTATATTATAGTTACATAGTTAACTTGATTTACAGCAATAATTAGTCCATATTTATACTATTAAAAACATGTATATAAATTTAATTAAACGCGATAATTTAAAGAGTGTATAGGTACCCATTTATAGGTATTAGGTAGGTAAGTTAATGTATTATTTAATGTTATGAAAAATGTTCCCACAACTTCGTCATAGCCATCGCCGCTATTTGTGATAATATTATGCATAATATTCTATTATAAATAGGTGATGTTGGTACAATATAATATATAATATCTAAGTGTGACTACAAACCATAATACGTCACTACGTTTTTTTTTTTAGATTTCTCTCGAAACGAAACGTATAGATAGATTTAAGTTTTTACATTGTATAAATATATGACAATTATTGCCTTCGTATATTGGGTGCGGCTCAAACAAATAAGAGGTGTGAGTGTGTGT